ACCCTCAAGAGTCTTCTCCAACCCCACAGTTCAAAAGCATCAAATCTTCGGCTCTCACCTTTCCTTATAGTCCAACTCTCACATCCATACATGACTACTGGAAAAACCATAGCCTTGACTAGATGGACCTTTGTTGGCAAAGTGATGTCTCTGATTTTTAATATGCTATCTAGGTTGGTCATAACTTTTCTTCCAAGGAGCATGTGTCTTTTAATGTCATGGCTGCAATCACCATCTGCAGTGATTCTGGAGCCCTCAAAAATAAAGTCTGTTACTGTTTCCAGTGTTTCCCCATCTATTTCCCATGAAGTGATGGGACCGGATGCCATGATCTTAGTTTTCTGAACGTTGAGCTTTAAGCCAACTTTTTCACTCTCCTCTTTCACTTTCATCAAGAGGCTTTCTAGTTCCTCTTCACTTTCTGCCTAAGAGTGGTATCATCTGCATATCTGAAGTTATTGATATTTCTTTCAGCAATCTTGATTCCAGCTTGTGCTTCATCCAGCCCAGCGTTTCTCATGATGTACTCTGCATATAAGCAAATAAGCAGGGTGACAATATACAGCCTTGACATACTCCTTTTCCTATTTGGAACCAGTCTGTTGTTCCATGTCCAGTTCTAACTGTTGCTTCCTGACCTGCATATAGGTTTCTCAAGAGGCAGGTCAGGTGGTCTGGTATTCCCAACTCTTTAAGAATTTTCCACAGTTTGTTGTGATCCACCCAGTCAAAGTCTTTGGCACAGTCAATAATGCAGAAGTAGATGTTTTTCTGGAACTCTCTTCCTTTTTTGATGATCTAATGGATGTTGGCAATTCGATTTCTGCTTCCTCTGCCTTTTCTAAATCCAGATGCCTTCTCTAAACCCCTTGCTGCTGACCCTCATTTCCAGCTCCCTTGGTCTGAGACAGAGAATAAAAAGTAATACTTTTGGCATGAGTTTCTTCCCCAACATTCCCTTTCTGAGACCCTCTCCATCCCCCATCCTCTCTCCATGCCAGATACTGGAATGGAAGTGCCATTTGTGGGAGCTGCTGTACTTTCGTCCTTCCAGAAACCAAAGCAGGGAGCTCCCCGGTGGCCCAATGGTTAGGACTCAGAGCTCTTACTGCTCAGGCCCCACGTTTGATCCCTAGTTGGGGAACTAAGATCCCATAAGCTGCACAGCTCAGTCAAAATAAAAGACACCAAAGCAAAACCAAAGAGTGGTGGCAGGGATGAGAGGAAGGGACGGAGAGAGTCTCAGAAAGGGAAAGTTGGGGAAGAAAATAAAATAAAAGCTCTGGAGGGCTGGACTGCTTGCTGGGAGATGACTCTCTGAGGCAGAAACAGAGTAAAGGTTGACCTAGAGGATGGCAGTGGCTTCCGCGTGCTCACTGGGGTGTCAGTGAACACTCATCCGCTTCCTCTCTCTTCTTGGACCTGCCAGACTGTTTGGAAGAAGCAGTCTCTGAGTTCTTTGAACTGCCTGTTGGTCAGAGGGAGAAGCTGTCTAGGCTCTCAGGTAAGGTCTCTGAATCTGAGCTGATCACCTGGAAGAGGTATATAGCTGGGGAGGGAAAATAGATCCAGGGCACTCAGAGTGTATGTGCTGAATCTGAGAGTCACTAAATGACACAGAGCAATACAAATGCCATGTGAACTGGATGTTCATAAAGGCTTGATCAGTGAGCTTTCCAGAAAAGACTTCTTTAAAAAAAATTACATGTTTATTCATTTCAAATAGGTAATACAAGCACAGGACACAGCATTTCAAAAAGTGCCGAAAGGTATGTGTGGTGAAAAATAAATGTCTTTCCCTCTCCTGTGCCCAAGTTCTTCAGTTTCCTTCGCAGAAACAACTACTGTTGTCAGTTTTTGTTATTGTCGTTCGGTCGCTAAGTTGTGTCTGATTCTTTGCAATCCTGGCATGGATTGTAGCACGCCAGGCTCCCCTTCACTGTCTCCCAGAGTTTGCTCAAATTCATATCCATTGAGTTGGTGATGCTATCCAGCTCAGACTCTGTCACCCCCTCAATCTTTCCCAGCATCAGGGTCCTTTCCGATGAGTTGGTTCTTTACATCAGATGGCCAAACAAAGTTTTGGAGCTTCAGCATCAGTCCTTCCAATGAATGTTTAGGGTTGATTTAATTCAGGATTGATCGATTTGAACTCTGAAAATCACAAGTGTACGTGTGTTTGTATTTCTGTGTGTACTTGAAACAATACGAATGGGCATATTACATATACTGTTTTTAACTGTGTTCTTTTAAGAGTACATTTTGGAATCTTTTTTCTTAACATATACTGTATGGGTTGGGATAGCTTTGAAAAGCAGAAAAACCTTGTTCCCATACAACCCTGGAGTTTTACTTCAGATCAAGCAGCTCCTTATTTGCAGCTTTTTTTTTTTTTACAGACAGTGTGGTCCCTGGGCGACCTGAAGCTGTCTTGCTCAGGGAAACATCCTGGCATGGAACAGACAAAGAGCTAACATCCCTGCCAGATTTCACTGGGATTCATGTCCCCCATTCTTATGGAATTCCCTACATCTGGAATTTGTTCTTAGAGTTTATATGAGAGATACCAGCACCAAGCCCCTACCTGGCTACTCTATTTTTTTTCCCCCCCAAGTCTTGTAAGTGGGTGAAGTGTTTTCTGGGTGTTGTGGAGGTCATTTCAGAGAGCTGCATTTCTGGCTCATGGAGAGAGGCTGGCAGGGGCTGTGTTTAAGGGATTAATGCCCCATGGTGCTGTCTGTGGCTTCAAGATTACTCAGGTCAGGGTGAGCTGTTTCCCTGAAGTGGTCTGGAATGCAGGAAGTGGAATGAGACACAGCTCTTAATGTTAAAGGACTGGTTAATCAAACCACTTTGGGTGCAGGTGTATCTGAATCACTTTGTAGAATGCTGTGTCCTTTCCCTTTCCTTTTGCTCTCTGCCTGCCAACGTTGCTCATTTTCTTTTCTTTTTAATATTTATTTTATTCATTTATTCGGCTGTATCAGGTCTTAGTTGCATGGCACAAGGCATCTTTGATCTTTGTTGCAGCATGTGGGGTCTTTAGTTGTGGCATGTGGGATCTAGTTCCCTGACCAGGGATCAATCCTGGGTCCCCTGCATAGGGAACAAAGAGTCTTAGCCACTGGACCACCAGGGAAGTCATGCTCCTTTTGTTTTGATGAGCTTTCTAATCCTAGTGGTCCATTTCTGCTGCCCCAAAGCAGCTTGGGTCAGATCAGATCAGCTTCTTAATTTGATTTAAATGTTCCAAAGAAAAAATATCATGGTGGGTATTTCTTTAAATTTCATCAGATCGAATTGCTTACAAGATTTTGGCCATCAAATAAAGGGAAAACAACCAGATATACTGACCCCTTGTTCTTAGAGTGGCTGCCGCAGCCTGGGGCTCTTGGAGGTTTATTACCTTATTTACTCTTTTAAAAAAATAACAGCTTTATTCAGATATAATCCATATACCATACAACTCACCTACTTCAAGTAAACAAGTCAGTGTTTTTTTTTTATATTCACAGAATTGCACAATTATCACCACAATTTTAGAACATTTTCATCAATCACTCCCTCCCATCAAAAAGCCCCATAGCCACTAGCAATCACTTCCCCCTCAGTCCAAGGTATCCACTAATATACTTGTGTTTTCTATGGATTTGCCTGTTCTGGACATTTCATACAAAGGGGCTCATATAATAAGTGGTCTTTCAAGACTGGCTTCTTTTATTTAGCAGGACATTTTCAAGATTCAGCCCTGTTGTAGCATTTATCAGTACTTCACTCCTGTTTATGGTCAAGTAATATTCCATTGTGTGGTTATGTCATATTTTACTTATTCATTAATTAGCTGATGGACATCTTGGTTTTTCCCCACTTTATTGGCTATAATGAGTAACGGTACTATGAACATTCCTGTAGGCATTTTTGTGTGGACCTCACTTGAACTTGGGTTTCCCCACTGGCTCAGCCATAAAGAATCTGCCTGCAATGGAAGAGATGCGGTTCTATCCCTGGGTTGGGAAGGTCCCCTGGAGGCGAAAATGGCAACCCACTCCAATATTCTTGCCTGGGAAATCCTATGGACAGAGGAGCCTAGTGAGCTACAATCCATGCGGGTCACAGTTAGACATAACTGAGCACATAAGTACACTTGATCTTGACAGCAACTCTCATGAGGTTTACAGACCTCGTTCTATAGACAACAAAACTCATTCCAAGATTTAGACAGGAATTTTTAATGCAGCTGTTAGATTTCTGAGCCCATGCTTTTTCCAGTCTGTGTTCACAGAGTTGAAATAACTGCGACAGGACGTGGTGTGGATATGTCCGCAGGAAGGACCTGTGAACAGGAACGGTTATTTTTCGGTTGTGAAATTTCAGCCCTCTCCCCAATATCCCCCTTCTCTTTGCCTTATTCTCCTCTCCTAGTTTTCACTTTCTTTCAAGTATCGGGGTTTCTGCCCCTCTGGTGGGTACAGAATCCACTCGCACTCATTTACACTTCGGTGTGGAATATAATTTTGTGCGAATGTGATATTTGCATGTTCGAGTCACCCCGATGAGGTGAAATCTCCTCTGCTAGTAGCAAGCACTGAGGTGCTATTTGAAGCAGGGACAGGCAGAGGGAGGATTTCTTGGAAAAGCTCCTTCTCTCGACGGGTTCCCAGGTTTCCAGGATGAAGGCCACCCACCCTGGGGTTGGGGCTGCATGGACCGCCACCTTCCCGCGGCTCCCCCCTACCACCAGCTAGGTCGCGCGCACCGTTGCTCGGCAACCACCCGCTCAAGCCGGTGGAGGCACAAGAACCCTGCGGGGAGCGCGCGCACACGCGGGACGCAGGGCCGCTCGCGCGACCCCGACGTCAGACCCACCCCTCTCCTCAGTGCCTGCCTGCCCCGGCGGGAGGCCGAGCCCCGCCCCCCTCGGAGGGCAGCCTGTGGAACCCACGAATCACAGAGACCGACACATCGCCCGGCCGGGCGCCGGGCAACCAATCGCCGTATGCGTGTGATCCCGCGCCCGCCCGGGAGGCCGGCTGCGGGCGCTGAGGCGGCGACGGCGGGAGTCGCTGCTGAGGCGGCCGCGGGCGCGGGTCGTGTCAGCGCAGCTCCTCGGGGCCGGGCCGGGCTGGCAGCAGCTGGCGCCTGGCGGTGAGGGCGGGCTCCCGGGGTGGGCGGAATGGCCCCCACCTAGGGCCGTGGGAGTAGCGGCTGAGCCCAGGATGCTGAGGAGGCGGCGCGGCGGCTCCTCACTTATTCCAGGTAAGGCGGACGCCGCGCTCGTTGCGGCGCGCCTCCCCGGCCCCGCTGTCTCCCTGCCGCCGCTCACCTGGCTCCGAGTCCTGGCCGCGTCTGTCCTAGCATCCCTCGGCCCCAGTCGCCGCCGGCCCGCGTATCTCCCCCGGCGCCAGTCCAGCCCCGCCCCTTCAGCACGGAGCCCCGGGTCCCTGCCCGGCCGGGCCCGGCTCCGGAGCCCGCACCCCTGGCCCCAGCGCCCGCGTTTCCCGGTCTCGGGCTTTCCCGTGGCCCGACTCGCCCCCGCCGTGGTCGGCCTCCCGCTCTCTCCCGCCCCCTCCCCGCCTTCCTGTCCCTCAGGCAGGGCCGGCACTGTTTCCCAGCCTCCGCAGTCCTTCGGGGCGCCTTCCGGGGATGAGACGCCAGGGCCCCCCCGGATCGGACTTTTGCCTTCACCTCTACCCGGACTTCCCTTCCCCAGGCTCAGCCCGTCCTTGCCCCCTATACCGGGTCCTCTAGGCGTTTCACTCGCGCCCTCCTGCCCCCCACCCCACCCCACGCCACGCTATGTGTCCCTGGGTTTTGCCCTTTTGCCCCTAGATGCTTTCCTTTCCCAACTCGCCCCTTCTCTCTCCATTTTCATCACCCACCGTCGCCAACACGTCTTTTCCTCTATGCTTAAACCTCAGACACTGCTCCTCTTCTGAGTGCCTGGTCTATAGTTTTAGCCTAAGTCGTCTTTAAAAGAGCTACATCCATAACAAATAAAGTGTGTTGCCGGAGTTTGGCACACAGTAGGTCTGGTACGTGGTAGGTGCTCACGCGTGTTACCCTCTTCCTCCTTTGAGGCCTTTGTGCCCTCCAGATAGTGGTAGCAAGACGTCCAGTATCCGGTACCTCAAGAGTAGTATGGGAGGTGGCAGGATGAATTAGGCACCTCCAAGTGTGATGAAGAGATTGCATTGTCAGTTATTTACTTACAGCAGTCATTTCGAAGAATTGAATTTTGCTATCTTTGTGTCATGTATTGTTTTATAATAATTGGCTTTGTAAAGAGTTCTTAATAAGGTTTGCAACTTAGTCCCACCACCCCATCTCCAGTGTTTGCTGAACTTTTATTTTTAGGAAAGGAAGAGCCCCCACCTCTTAGTTGAAATTGTATTGTGTCTAAGAAGGGTTTCGAGTGTTTATCTCCCAGCTGGATAGTCCAGTCCTGCAGTGAATTTTCATCCTTTAAGAGCCTAGAGGAATCAGGTGTAGATTTCTTGGAATCAACCGTGGAAGGAATCAGAAATGCTTAGGAGTAGAAGTTCTGACAAGTTCTCCAGAGTGAAAGAGGAATTAGCCACCCCCGCCCCCCTTCTGGCTATCAGAGGAAATAACTTGAGTCCATTTTTAAAAAGAATAAAACAAGTTTGACTTCTGAAAATTATAAAAGCCATTTTACTGGCCTCAAGTCATTCTTGCTCATTTGCTCTGATGGTTTCCAAGCCTGGATGAATCCAACAGTTAGCTTTTTCTGCTCCTGGAGGCTTGAGGAAAGCCTGTGACTGAGCTGCTGGTGCTGTTCTAAACTTTTGGATTCCAACTTTGCTCGCACTGCCTGGAGATCCTTTGACTCACTCCCTATGTACCTCTTATGTACCTAGACCTCGTTGCTCCTTCTAATCTTTACCATTCTCCTCTTCTTGACTTATCTTACTCTTGACTTCTTTAAGTTGCTTATTTTGCCTCCTACTTCACAGAATTTGTGGGCATTAGCCCTGAACCCTTAAGGGTCTCATTTTTCTGTGTGCTTGTACCTCTCTGATTTCTGATCACCTTTTCTTTTATCAGAGGAAGAAGGTATTACTTTCTGAGGCTAACATCTTTCATATTCTATATTTTCTTTTTTTCTCAGCTTGCACACATGCTCAGGTTTTCACCATCCAAAACAAACCAAAATGAAGCGTTGCCTTGATGTACTTTCCCTCAGATTAATGTGGTATTCCTTAGGACTTTGTTCTTTCCCCTGTCCTCTAGTTTGTGTTATTACATTTCTGTTCATGGCTTCAAGTAGCACCTGTATATTTTTGGTTTACAACCGTATATATTCAGTTCTCATTTTTCTTGAACTTCAGGTATTTCATATGTTCGTCTGTCAGATAACTATACTTGGATACTTGTACTTGTTCAAACTTGGGTATTTTTTCCTTTCTCTTCTTACTCATGGCTGCCTCAAGGACATCCACAAAGCTCCTATTTTAAGTTCTGTACCCTAGAAACCTTAGAATCGTCTTCTTCTCTCCTATCATTATGTCTGCCATAGATCCTATTGTTGCTACCTGAAGTCCTTTTCTTTTCTCTCCTCATTGCCAGAAGATTGCTTGTGGCCTGGGTTATGTTTTTCCTGAACAGATTTCAACCACCTGGGAGCTTTTAAAGGTTGAGGATGAGGGGATCAAGGCCTCCATAGAGATTCGGAGTTTTGGTCTGCTGTGGGGCCAGACCTTTTCATTTAAAAAATCTTTCTTATGTAGCAGTAATAGGCATCAAAGGCTGAGAACTGGCTTGAGAGCTCTAAGAGGGACTGAGGATGGTGAGGAGCTATATATAGCATTTAACTCATCCTTTAAAAATCAACATAAATGTCACTTTTGTTGGCATGGTTACTTTCCTGACTTTGTACATTTACCTGTTAAAGTACTTATCACATTAAAATATTTTTTTTTAATTGGAGGATAATTTCTTTACAATGTTGAGTTTCTGCCATACAACGATTCGAGTCAGGCATAATTTTATATTTGTGTGTATATATATGTATGTATAGATCCCTTTCCTCTTGAGCCTTCCTCCCACCTCTCATCCTACCCCCCAGATTTTATTTAAATCATTTCTCATGGGCCCATTTTTCTCATAACTAGGATTTCCTTGAGGTCTGTGATTATGCCTAAAGGTAAATTATTGTTTCTTACACTATTCACGGTCCTTCTGATACCAAATATGTAGGTTTTTCCCTCACATTAAATAGTTCTCCAATTCTCCAGACAGCAACTGAGTATCATACACTTTAACTTAATTATTACTATTAATACCTGGATTTAGTACAGACCCCATAGATTAAGGACTCAGTCCCACAAGACACCTCTCAACTTCAGACAAATCCCAAGTCCTAGGTTGTGACCTGTACTTGAAACCAATTGGCTATAAATTGAGGCTTCGCACAACTCCTTCCTCAGGTGTTTAATTTGCTGTAAAGGCTCACAGAATTCAGGAAAGCTCATTACTTACCTTTACCCATTGACTCAACAATAAAAACAGTGGCAGATTTTATTTTCTTTGGCTCCAAAGTCACTGTGGACTGCAACCATGAACTTAAAAGATGCTTGCTCCTTGGAAGAAAAGCTATGACAAATCTAGTCAGCGTACTAAAAAGCAGAGACATGACTTTGCCAACAAAGGTTTGTCTAGTCAAAGCTGTGGTTTTCCCAGTAGTCAGGACAGATGTGAGAGTTGGACCATAAAGAAGGCTGAGTGCTGAAGAATTGATGCTTTTGAACTGTGGTGTTGGAGAAGACTCTTGAGAGTCCCTTGGACTGCAAAGAGATCCAACCAGTCTATCCTAAAGGAAATTAACTGTAAATATTCATTGGAAGAACTGGTGCTGAAGCTCCAATACTTTGGTCACCTGATATGAAGAACCAACTCATTGGAAAAGACCCTGATGCTGGGAAAGATAGAAGGCAGGAGGAGAAGGGGATGACAGAGGATGAGATGGTTGGATGACATCACCGACTTGATGGACATGACTTTGAGCAAGCTCTGGGAGATGGTGAAGGATAGGGAAACCTGGAATGCTGCAGTCCATGGGGTCACAAAGAGTTGGACATGGATGGGAGACTGAACAACAAAATTCTGAGAGCCATTCTATATGCTCTTAAGAGGTTCCAGGGAAACTGAAACTCCGTTGTTTTCTGGGTTAAATTTAACAGCACACTTTTATACTGACTTTTGATAAGTGACTTTTGATTGTATCCTGGACCTTTGTTGTATTTTGTTAGGAGACTCTGGATCCTATTTAAATCTTTTATAGGTGAGGGAGATTAAGAGTTACTTGGAGATGTAATATACAGCATAGGCTGCTGCTGCTGCTAAGTTGCATCAGTCGTGTCCGACTCTGTGCGACCCCATAGACGGCAGCCTACCAGGCTTCTCCATCCATGGGATTTTCCAGGCAAGAACACTGGAGTGGGTTGCCATTGCCTTCTCCGTACAGCATAGGGAATATAGTTAAATATTGTAATAACTTTGTATGGTGACAGGTGGTAACTAGACTTATGGTAGTGACCATTTTGTAATGTTTAAAAATATTAAATCACTATGTTGTACACCTAAAATTAATATAGTATTAAATCACTATGTTGTACACCTAAAATTAATATAGTAATGTAAGTCAGTTACCCTTCAATAAAAAGAAAAGTCTTCTGTTTTAGTAGCCGTTGCCCTGAAAAGTTTCATGCATAGGGCCCAGCCTACTTTCTTTTATTTTTTGTAGCAGCTTTATTGAGCTATCATTCACATTTCATACATTTGCCCATTTAAGGTATAGTTTTTTTTAGCATGTTTAGTATATTTTAGTTATTGTTTAGTTGCTATAGTTGTGCAAGATTCTTTTGCAGTCCCATGTACTATAGCCTGCCAGGTTCTTCTGTCCATGGGATTTCCCAGGCAAGAATACCGGAGTGGGTTGCTGTTGCAAGAATACCGGAGGGGATCTTCTTGACCCAGGAATCAAACTTGCATCTCTTTCATTGGCAGGCAGATTCTTTAGCACTGAGGCACCAGCGAAGTCCTGTGCAACCCTTATTACAGTCAATTTTAGAACATTTTCAGGAAACTGCACTCCTTACCTGTCACTTCCAACTCCCACTTGTCATCCTCTCAGTTTAGTTCAGTTGCTCAGTTGTGTCTGACTCTTTGCGACCCCAATGGACTGCAGCACTCTAGGTTTCCCTGTCTATCACCAACGCCTGGAACTTGCTCAAACT